CACTAGTCAAAAACTAACTCCATTTACAATTTTCACCAAAAAAATCCACCAAACTTTTTCTCCTCATTAGTCCCTCAAATCTCTATTTAATTTTATATATTTATATGAAATTACCAAATTAGCACGTCAAAACACGGCAACATACATCAGCATCTGACCGAGGAAACGGTCATGGAGTACGGAAATGTGTTGGCGTACTGAAAAGATAGCGTGCGGCCGTTGGTCAGCGGCTTGCCGTTGTTAACAAGACAGTTGTCGAAGTCGAGCCGCTTGAAGACCCTCGGGTTCACGAGCCGGGCCGAGCTGAACCAGCCGCACCTGAGGTGTATAGCCGAGATGTCACAGCCCGAGACACAGACGTTCATTATCTCGACCGTGTAGGTCGGAATCCCATTCGGGAGCGGCTCCGTGGGGCCCTGGCTTACGATGATGTCTGATTTCGAACACCTGTCGCTCCATATTCGGTTTGGCTCCACACCAATGTCCTCAGAGGTCTCATTTTGACCTTGCAGTTCTTTTTCTGCTGCTGTTGATAAAAAGCACAACAGATTCAGAACATGACTCAGTTTTCTAATATAATAATAATTACAAAAAAATGTAATCTTTTTTTATACAAAATTGAATTTCAAGAGGTAGTAAATGCTTGTGCAGGTACATATTTGTCTTTAAGGGTCGCTGTCATGCATTTTTTTACTCAATTTGTGTCTCTAAGGAAAGATCAAAACACACATACATGGGGAGGCCCTTTTTTGAAATATTGCAACTTTAAGAGGACTGAAAAGGGAAAGAATTTGGGGTTTTGTAAAGCTTTTTTTTTCACTTAAATGTCAAATGTTGATGTGCATTAACAGGCAAATTCAACTTTTTTTTTGGGGAAATGAAATGTGGGGAGGGAAATTGGAAATAGACAATTGAACGGAAAAAGATTGCACATAGAGAATAGAGTAATTAATAGAGCTTTCAATGGTGCACAAAATAGAGCTTTTTTCAATTCCTTCTAAATGTTTTTTTTATTTTTTTTTTTTT